TTTTCCTGGAACTCACTTGGTAGCCCAGGCTGGCCTCGAACTCACAGAGATCCGCCTGGCTCTGCCTCCCGAGTGCTGGGATTAAAGGCGTGCTCCACCACCGGCCGGCATTGTAGGTGATTATTATAAATGCTATTGTAGTTACTGCATCTTTGAATGTAGTTATATTGTTTAAAGTTTAATTGGTAAAAGCATACTTTTATCTACTGTTTTCTGTATTAACAAAATTAGAATAAGTAACTCTGATATCATGTGGAGGAAAAAAAAACTTCTTTAAGTGCAAGTTATAATAAAAATACTTGAGAAATACTTTGCAGCCAAGTTGTATTTATTCTGTGTTCAAAATAGGTATTATATAGTGAGATGTGATTAAGAAATAGTTATATATTACTATGTATTTGCAAAGCTGTTCCACAACTGTTAGTTTACTTTAGATTAATTCTTGGTCATTTTTCTTTTCAATAAAAATGTCAGATGTCATATTATTAGACAAGAAAATGAGAGAAAAGCTTAGAGAGAGCTGTTATAAACACTGTTATTTATAGAGATAAGTAATAGGGAGGTTTCAATGAAACCTTTAGAAACTCTGTTAGTTCTAAGCTCTATTAAAAGCAATGTGATTTTGATTGGGGGGAGCCCACAAATGGTCATCTAAAGGCCAAGTTGCATTTTCACAATGATCCATTCAATAAAGCACCCATCAAGACTGTCAAGCATCTAACTGAGCATTTTGCAGATAAACCTACACTATGCAAACATAAAGGCATGCACTTTGTTTCATTTGATCTTCAGTTTACATGGTAGTGGTTAAGGTCTAACTTTTGTTCACAAATCACTACTGTACATTATAATTAATAGATACATTGCTTCTGTTATCTTAGGTAACTAACAAGTCTGTAAAAGAGCATTGAATGCAGTGCTCTCCGTTACTAGCAATTTATTTTAATTGAAATTGATGAAAGTTACAGGTATTGGTCCATAGACTGGTAAGACTGATTTGACTTAATGTTTATCAGGTTTCTATGTATGAAAACATCATCTTCACCTTTCGGCCCGTGCTGTGTCATCCAGACTGAGGAAGATCTGGCAACTCCAGGGTAAGCACCACAAGAAACCATGATGCTGTGGTAATGTGGGAGACTGTCATCACCAAGGGGTCAACTTAGACAAGTAACATACAGGTTCCTTTGGACAAGTTGATATGACATTGCCACTTAAAAAGAAACAAGAGCTTCTGGCTAATTGTAAACCTAGATAAATCATGGGCTGTGGTGTTATTTTATTTGTGCTGAAATGTGGTGATATTTTATTTGTGCTTTAATAAATAAAGCTTGTCTGGAGATCAAAGGAAATAGCAAGCTATTATAAGTAAACAAAGAAGCCAGGCAGCAGTAGCACATGTCCTTAATCCTATCATTTAACAGGCAGGATCTCTGTGTGTTCAAGGCCACACTAGGGAACAGAGCCAAGCGTGGTGACACCTGCCTTTAATCCCAGTACCAACCTTTGAGGTCTGGAAGTCTGTACAGACAGACAGAAAGTGACAGAGCTTTGTAGGAAGAGGAAGTGATGTAGCTGGGCTAAGAGAGCCAATGGGAGAACAGAACAGAAAAGGCGTATAAATGTGAATATACAGGAAGAAGTTCTCTTTGGATGCTGTGGAGTTGGTGAGGTGAGGTTAGCTCATGGTTTGTCCTATTCCTCTGATCTTTCTCTCAGGCTTTAATCCAAATTTCTGGCTCCATGTTTTTTATTTATTAAGACCATTTAGAAATTTGTCTACAGTGGGCATTGGTCAGTGAGCAGACACGGGTTAAAGCTGAAAACAAACAAACAAAACACAAAATAAGACTGGAGCTGCTGCCATCATAGGTGTGTCATCAGGCCACTACAGAGTTCTGGGGAAGCAAAAACTCCCTAAGCAGCCTGTCATCACGAAGGTCAAATTCTTCAGCAGAAGAGCTGAACAGAAGATTAAGGGTGTGGGAGCTGCCTGTGTCCTGGAGGCTTAAAGCCATCCAGGGAGGTTTGTTAAATGCTAACATTTAAAACAACAACAAAATCATCATATTCCTTAACCGGTAATGTAGGCATTATTTTAGATTTTCCCTTATCTTCAAATGTGCATTTCTATTTTAATTGCAATTTCTCTGAAGCACGCCAAATCTGTAATACTATCTGAGATGAGTGTGTTTGGTTTTGTGGGTTATTGAATCTCATTTTTTTTTTTCATGTGCCTAGCCCAATATCCCATAAACACTGTTGAAATGGCTTTGAATTTTATTTTATTAAACCTACGTATCACTAAATACTTAGCTTTTAAACTGAACAGGAAAGCATGATCACAGCAGAGCTTTTATAAATAATATGTTACATTTTAAGCTTCTATTCAAACCACTGATTGGGGTACATTCAAGTGGGGCTAGGGACTGGATGGGATTTCACTGGCAAAGTTCTGCCAGAAAGAATGAGTTAAGTAAGGATAAAAGCAGAGTAGATACCACTGTTGAGATTTCTGGGTTCATTAGTAGGCTTGCTGTGTCTGAATCCTCTTTCTCTCTTGTCTGGATTTTCAAGTCTTTCAGAGGACAGACGTATTTTTTCTTTTCCTAGGTCCTGCTTTGCTTATAATTGATACTTGGTGGTTATCTAACATGGTTGGAATAGTTCTTTACTATTAGTTGGCATTTTGCAAACTCTCAATCTCATGGAAGGTTAATGATGTAGTGATTCCAGAGGATATTTATGACCCTATTTTGAAGTTTTCCCCAAAGCATTAGTTACAATTAATATTTATGTGTGTTTGTGTGTCTGAAGCTCAGGGCCAACATTGGATATCTTTTCTCAATTGCTCCCTACCTTTATTTTTTGAGTCTGGAGCTCTCAATAAACCCTTAGCTCATCAATTTGGCTAATTTGCCAAGCCAGTAAGGCTCTGGGTGTTCTCATGCTTTTGGGGGGCATTAATGAACTTTCTTTCTTTTATGTTTTTCCTTTTTTTTAATTGTCTTATTTCTTTTTCTCTTTTTTCTTCTCTCATAAAATACCTTCCATCAGCAGCCTTCCCTCCCTCCATTCCTCTCCCTATTACCCTCCACCTCCCCCAAATCCAGTGCTCTTCCCAGTGATATCAACTGAACATTGCATAACAAGATGGGAATAAGACTCTCTTAACTGAGTCACATCCCTGGCCTTTGGAAATTATTTTTCTTAAAAATCTTTAAAATGGAATCCATGTTTTCCCTAATTCATAGATCAGGTTATCTTATTTTTTGAGATTTATGTTTCTCTTATGTGAATGAGTGTTTTGTTTGTACCTATGTATGTCAACCATGTGTGGCTTATTTTGGATTAGGTTGGTTGATTCAGGGTAGGCTTGCCTGTGTGGCTCTTCTTCATGTTGTATATCTGGGTGAACTTTGCTGTTAGATAGAGGTCAGATCCATTTTTACTTAATAGCTTTCTTTCTACAATCCATGTTGTAGGTTGTAGCTACTCATGAGACTTCTTTTCAAAGCAGAGCACTGATATCTGCTTCAGGCTATTGTCTGTTTGGAAAATTTTCACTCAGTACATTTTTTTAATATGCATTGGTGTTTTGCTTGTATGGTTGTCTGTGTGAGGGAGTTGTATAACCTGGAACTCAAGTTACATACAGTTGTGAGCTGCCATGTGGGTGCTGGGAACTGAACTCAAGTCCTGGAAAAACAGTCAGTGCTCTTAACCACTGAGCCATCTCTCCAGCCCATATATCCACACACACACACACACACACACACACACACACACACACACACACACACACACACACACACACACACACACATATATGAATATAGTTTATGTGGCCAAATCCCAGGTTAAAGTGGGATATACATTTCATCTCTAGTTATAGAGATTGCAAGGTCATAGAGAAGAGAGTAGAGGAAGCTACCAAGAACTGGTACTGATATTTGATCAGTGACACTAGTAGATAATTGTTTCATTGTGGTAGTTCAAATGAAAATAGCCCCATGGCTCATAGGGAGTGGCATTATCAGAAAGTGTGGACTTGTTGAAATAGGTATGGCATAGTTGGAGGAATTTTGTCACTGAGGATAGACTTTGAGGTCTCAGAAGCTCAAGCCCAGTGTGTCTCAGTCTCTTCCTACTTCCTGTGGCTGTGTTCTTGGACTGTATTCCAGCCAATATTAGTAGGTAACAATACTGTTTTTGAGGAAACTGATGAATGTCCATCAGCAGGGCACAATTTTGCTGTACAGATAGTGATATACAACCGAATATTTAGAATCAGGAGATGGTTATTTGACTCTAATTCATTGCAATGATAGATTTGTTTCTCCCATATAATTTAAAAGAAATCCATCACAATTAAAATTTAGAGTATATTTATTCATGTTCAAGTTAAATAAAAACACCTCAGGTCCTATTTTAAGTTATACATTTTATGCTTGTTGAAGAGAGCATTGTTTTAAGTATGTTACAGTCAGGTTTACATACTACATAAACTGCTTGATAGTTGCATGAAAAATTAATTTTTCAAATCCTCTTAATTTTATTTTTAGCAGTAAGTTTTATTTCTAGAGAAACTTTAAATTAACAGCAAAATGAAGTGGAAAGAATATTGCTGCATTCTCACCCACAGCGCCCTCCACAGCTGTGGTGGTTTGAATGAGAATGGTCCCATAGGTTCATATGTTTAATGACTAGCCTACAGTTGGTAGATTGAATAGGACTAGGAGGTGCGGCCTTGTTAGAGGAGGTGTGTCACCATATGTGGACTTTGAGATTTCAAAAGCATACACTAGGCTCAGTGTGTCTCTTTCTGCTTGCTGTTGGAGTGAAGATTAGGATGTAAAACTCTTCAGCTGCTTCTCCAGCACTATGACTTCCTGAATACGGCCAGCCATGTCCCCTACCTTGATGATAGTGAACTAAGACTCTGAAACTTTAAGCAAGCCCCACTTAAATTATTTCCTTTATAGGAATTGCCATAGTCATGGTATCTCTTTGCAGCAAAAGAATACCTAAGACAGAAGTTCAGCTTTCGATAGTTTTCCTGGGAGAGGTGCATTTAAGGCAAAGGAGAGTCCTATAGTCCTATAATGGAATATTATTAGCAGCAAAATTATTAATGTAGTTTAGAAGTTAATCTTGGTGTTGTACATTGTGTTTTACACTTTTAATATCCATTTTATCTTTATTTAAACATTTTATAACATATATGTAATATATATATACAATATATATATATCAGGGTTTCTCTCTGTAACAGTCCTGGCTATCCTGGAACTTGCTTTGTAGACCAGGTTGTTGGCCTCAAACTCACAGAGATCAGCCAGCCTCTGCCTCCTGAGGCCTGAGATTAAAGGTGTGTACCACCACACCCAGATTAAAATATATTTTGATCAAGTTTTAAGTCCATCCCCATCTCCTTCCTTATCTCCTTGACTTCTCCACTCATCATCCAGCCTCAGCTCTCTCCCTCACATTCTCTTTCACTTGCTCAAACACCAATAAGACAAAAAAAAAATCAACCCCCCCCAAAAAAAATCAAGCAAACCAACAACATTTAGTCTATTTTGAATTGACCATTTATTCCTGAGCATGGGGTCTGCCCTGGAGCGTGGTTGATATACCTAGTTATAGTCCATTGAGAAAAACTGATTTCCCATTTCCCAGAAAGTACCAAATACAAATAGCTTCTTAGTTAGAGGTGGGATTTTGTGCCAACTTCCCCTGCTCAGTACTGGTAATTGATCTGGTTTGGAATGTGTGGGTCCTGTGCATGCTGCTCCAGGCTCTGTGAGTTCGTATATACACCAAGTCTGTCATGTCTTGAAGATGTTCTTTTCTTGGAGTCATCCACCACTTACAGTTCTTGCAATCATTCTGCCTCCTTTTCCATCTGTATTCCTGAATCTTGAGCGAAGGGCTATGGTGAAGACATCACATTATGACTAGGTTCTCCATTGCCTCTCACTCTCTGGGCATTGTCCAGTTGCCCATCTCTATGTTAATTCCCACCTATTGAATGGAGTGTTGAGAACTGAGTGATATGCATAGAGTGATGTCATTAGGGGTCATTTTATTGCAT